CAACTGTTTAATGTAATTAAAATACTTTGATGACTGAATAAACTTAACATTTCAGGGTAAAAGATACATTTAATAATTTGCTTTAATGAATTAAGAGTTTAAAAAAGGTCCCATAAAAAACGCGTTTTGACTTTTCAATGCTTTAAACATAATTACCAGCCATTACACTACAATTTACTTTCGAAATCCAAAGTAGCTCTGAAAACAGTTGTGTTTTACAATTTTTGCTTTTGTCCACCTGAGATTTTGCTGCAGTACAGTGTTCATGGTTCGAACCGAGCGGATCAGGCGAAAATCCACTGGAGGAATGCTGACTTTTTGAAAAATGCTAACACAGCATTTAGCATTTTACTTTGGACCAGAGCAGAGAAAATTTTCCGAACCAAGCGGCTCCACCTCTGCAGTTGTGACCCATCCTGCTCCACCCAGAGGCTACACCACCTCTGCTGCTGTGACCCGTCCTGCTCCACCCAGAGGCTACACCACCTCTGCAGTTGTGACCCATCCTGCTCCACCCAGAGGCTACTCCACCTCTGCTGCTGTGACCTGTCCTGCTCCACCCAGAGGCTACACCACCTCTGCTGCTTAATATGAACTGCTACTGGACACCAGCATTTCTCCTATGGGGGAATCAATAAAGTGTCCATCTATTTGGCCTTCATACACGCACCCAAAGTAGTTTTTTCATAGATTCCTTCAAGCTTTAGTTAGAGAGCAAACTTTATCTTTCTTGAGAGGCAGTAAAACAACTCAGTACCTATTAGGACTGGGCTCTAAAAGGATAACGATATATATCGCAATAGACACGTGTTCGATAGCAATAGAAAATGGGGTCGATAGAATGTTAGACCCCGTTCACGTCGTTAGAAAAAACAGGAAGTAAAGCCAAGTCAGAGGCTTCTCGACCTATCACAGCCAAGCATGAACCACAAAACATTCTAGGAAATGCAAAAACAACAACCGCACCATGCGTAGCGTCCATGGATCTATAGATTGTTTTTCAGTGCTGTGTCAATAGTTATGCACGTTTGTGCGTGGAATAGCATGTGCGGCATGGGAGAGGCAGTCGGTACAGAGACCTGATGCATGCGGCAAAACCAAGAATGAACTTTTTCCTCAGGAAGCTCTCTGATAGCCGCACGGAGCCGTTACGGGGACACAAGACACTCGAAAATAGCCAAAACATGAGTTACACCAGGACTAAACCAGGATTAAACTAGGACTAACAATGAACATGTGCCTCCAGCCTCATTCCCCCGTGACTATAAACAAGGCTGCTAACGTGTGTTAGCAGACACAACAAATTTATTTAGGTTTTACTTTTTTTTTTTTTAAATAACGATTATTGATTATAGAGAATATATAATATTATTATATATATATATATATATATATATATATATATATATATATATATATATATATATATCAACAGATATGAAGCCAAAACGCCCAGCCCTAGTACCTATTGATAAAGTGATTGACAGAGGGAGAAATCAAAACAGCCCCACATTTACTACATCGAGTTTGTATGTGTTTTTGTCATTGTCAGAGACTAAAAGTTTTAGCATCAACTTAACTTGGGAGAAAATATATTTTTCATTTTCTAAATTAGGGTCAGATCGAGGTTAGATCGAGGACATACATTAAATGTGACAGGTCGCCATTGTTTGAGAAAAGTTTATTCTCCGGTCTGAAATGACAATGTACCGGCGAAAGCTGGAGTTAGCTTTCACACTGTGAGAGTGGGGGGAGGCAGGCTCACAGGGGAAGGAGCATAGATCAGCTTGGTGAGCGTTTGCACTTTTGCTGAGTAGTTGTCAAAATGGCTCAGAGCCGCTGGATACAGGATCCACTGTCATTACAAAGCGGCCACAGAGTCAGAACGCTGCCTCATTCCCAAGAGTATATCACGTTTGCGTCACACAACTTAATCGCAATGCTGTTGTCCAAGTTGCTGCTTTCCTTATTTATTTAAACCCAAGGTGCTGAATTTATTGTCGCTAATTTCTTCAATCTAGATCTAATCGCATAGACACTGAATATTAGCTCTAACTACGTAATACTGAAGAGGTAGACGCTGGCATCTGTAGAGCGGCGTCTGTAAATTTATCTACGTTATTTGTATTAAAAATCTACATTCAATTTAAGGTCATGTGTATAGAATAAAAAGGTTTTACTAGTATCAAAACTGAGGTTGAGTGTATCATGAAAACACTTAATCTTAAGTGTTTGTACAAGTGGTGGTGCAAATGGGGATCATCAGAGCAATGTTTGAATGCATGACATAGCACTCTGGAATGTTATGCACATCTTTAAAGCACATTTACCAGCTTCCATGCACAACAACCTAACAAAACAAAAAAAAAGCTCCCAGCCTCTTTGCTAAAATTGATTTGTGCACAAGATCAAACAGAGCTGCGAGCCGTTTCAGAGCGCGGTGTCGTAATCCTGCTGCAGCATGTTTACCTTCAGTGGTTATTGTGCAAAGTCAGGCCAGGACACAAGGTCACAACGTTTACCTAAAGTAACACCTCTCTTTAGGACGTTCAGACGAGCTCATCACGGCAATGCAAAATGTCCTTATCGAGGAAAACTGCTGTGTCACTCTCTGCCATAACACACAAACAAACAAGGCCTGTCGTCAAAGTCAGTGAAATGCACACAATTGCTCAATGATGTCACCGCCTTTTTCCCGTGTAGTAAACTCTGCATAATCTTACATTTGTATATATTCGTTTTTAATGCTTTTTTTTATTTATTTAGAATGATCTCCAATGCAGTTGTGTGTTGGGATCTGTTTCCAATTAAACAGGAGAATTGAAAAAAGTATACTATAACGATTATAGTAAATCACTAAAATAAAATTACTCCAAACAAACATTAAATATATATGTAATTAGGCTTTGCCGTGATAAAAGATAATACATTTCCCCTTTTCCATCTAAAAGATCAAAGCAGGTGACGCCTCTCGCCCGGGTAGGTTTTGGAACACTAATCATGGGACAAATTCATGTTGATTAGCATATTTTTGGGCAACATCAGGGGCTCCTGGCTGCCTGTAAATATTTAGTTTTGCACCGTTTTTAACCTTAAAAGATACTTTACATAGCATGAAGTTACATATGTAGAAGAGTGTGGACTCAGGTGCATAGAACACCAGGTATGCTTAACTAGCCTTCTGTGTGTGTGTAGAATAAGTGGGGTTCTAGGGGGGGGGGGGGACCGTGGATCATCTGCTTTGACACCAGCACGTTTGCAGAACTTTCAATTAATTGCATTGTTGAACCATTATCACCGCCAGACTCCCGCTCTCTGCCAAGTGCCACAGCGAATGCACCTGCGGAGAAACATGTCCCAAAAGCACCGCTAAAGCTGAGGGACAGCCGAGGTGATCCCCACTTTTTCCTTACAAGTGTGCTGTGAAAACTAAAGGCCTCAACGTTCTCTGACTGGGGGGGTGTGTCTGTGTAGAGTTTGAAATCCCCGAGACCAGCATACGACATCCTGGTGTCGCCATGTGATCAGCAGGGGGCGTCAGTGTTCAGTAACTACTTGTACAACACTATTTAACTTGTTTTTCTGTCGTGCTTCCAAGAGATTGCAGTTATTGTTGGAGCCAACCATGATTGAAACACAGATGCACTCAACTAACCCAGTTCTGTTCATGACATTTGTTATGTTATGAGTTCACTATTCACTAGTGGTAGTGCTGTAGTGAAGAAATAAAAGTTGTTTCCTGAATCACAAGGGTTTTCTTTTTTTACTTCTCCAGTGCTTTCAGTTTCAACACCATCCGACAGGCACTGCTGCGGGGAAGATGGAGGACCTGGAGTGGACAGTAACCTCACTGCATGGACCATGGACTAACTCTCGGACCGACCACAGTACGTGCGACTGCGCAGCTGTGAGTCTGAGGAGGTAGTCTGCAGCACTGGGGCATCGTGGGGCATTGGTGCGTGCAAAAATAATGTTTTTTTTCCCCATTTATTTAACGACAACAACAGAACAGACACGTCAACATTCAACAAGAACAACAAACAAAAAAGTATATAAATATATACATTTGAAGGTCATTAATGTTGTGCTTATTTTTTGTTATTTGTCTCTTGCGTCTCAATGCAGATTGCAATTTTAGGTGACAGACAAAAATATCGCAATACTAAACATTCAAACATATGTTTAAGTTTTACATCATTCACACAATCAAATTCTACCTTCCCAGCTGCTATACAATAGGACAGACAATCCATGCTCATTCTATTGAAATATTCTCAATGAAATATAGTTTTACAGACAGTATGTGTATATATATTAGACAGACCCAAAAACTACACATTATGTTAACATAGTCCCCTTAAAATTCACCCAAATAAATTGTAAACAACGGGCTGCAACCGCTCCTTTATCATTATTATAATTATTCTTTATTAGGGACACAATACAACACGGTCCACACAGTATATTGCATATTGAAAAAGAATATGCAATATACCTTAAGAGCCAGCAACTTACTAGATGGATAATATTTTATAGTGAGTGAACCTAAGACTAGCACTTTTGCCACCTCGTTATAAATGTTGTTTTTAGTTACAAGGGTAGTTATGAACTCCTCCTATGGGGTAAGGTTACTGTCAATAAAGACGTGCATGAATTAATACAATATTTGTATGCACATTAGACTGTATATATTGCAACACGTGTGAGCTGTCAAACGCCTACAACACGTGCTTCTCGCTTGTTCCTTGAGTTAGCGGCTCATTCTCTCCACTTTAACCGGGAGAACAGCTCCAGAATCCCCATGTGTCCTCTCCGTGCCTTCCCCCGTCACTACCCGCACTGTGCCAGGGGGCGTACACCACCTCCCCCCACTCCAAATGTCAGACGTGAACCCAAGGTGATGCCAGCCTGCACTGAGTTGCTAGTTAGCGTTAGCATTAGCTGTAGCACAGGCTAGTTTAGGCTTGACGCATGCCATAAACCGCAGTGTTTGCAAAGTTTTACCTGCGCTTGAAGTCCTTCTCGTAGGGTTTGAGGTAGGGGTCCATCTGTAGTAGACTTTGGAACTCCGGGGCTGATCCTCCATCCTCCTCTGCCTCTGCCATTGCTCCCTCAGACCAGACTAATCGAGTGCTGCTAGCGGCTGATCCTGATGTCCGCTGTCTGGCTTTGGCGGTGGCACGGGTGAACCGAGGTAGCATGTTCCGGTTCCAGCGCGGCTTTAAATACCCACAGAGTAACGCCTGGATGTGGGAATGGCTGAAAGTAATCTGCGGTCTGTGCCAGGGACAGCCCCTTGCAGCCTTCAGCCCAGTGTCCCACAACTGGAGATGTGCCATGGGAGGAGGATATGGGCTAAGGTTACTGTCAATAAAGACGTGCATGTCTAAAAACAATGCGTGCATAATAATATTTTATTAATTCATGCACGTCTTTATTGAAAGTAACCTTACCCCATAGGAGGAGTTCATAACTACCTTTGTAACTAAAAACCCCATTTATAACGAGGTGGCAAAAGTGCTAGTCTTAGGTTCACTCACTATAAAATATTATCCATCTAGTAAGTTGCTGGCTCTAAAGGTATATTGCGTATTATTTTTCAATATGCAATATACTGTGTGTTGTATTGTGTCCTTAATGAAGATTAATTATAAGAATAATGATAAAGGAGCGGTTCTACCAATAGTTTTCACATGAATGCATCTTGGCCAATCACATTAGATCAGCTTTTTCAGATAAAAAGTGAAACAATGGGACCTAAAAGTTCGGGATTTCCAAAATAGTAGAAATTAGAAAAGAATCAAATAAACTTGTCCTGAAAAGATCTTGAGACTCCTTATGTTGGAATCTAACAATGCATACATCATTTATAAAAAGTTAGGTAACCCAGCTTTACCAAACAAAGTGAAGATTTACAGTGCCTTGCAACAAATATATACACAGCTTGAACCTCTACACATTTTCTCACACTGAAATACCACCACAATGTAACTACTTTTTATGATTATGCATGATAATTACTGTATGATCACTTATTTATCACACATAATAATACTCACCATGGAGCTTAGCCTGACCAGTCTGACCGGACGACACAGGGTCCTCTTCTGGTGGACCCTGCAGAGTGTTCCATGGGGGTCAGGTGCAAAGAGGACTGGACTATAATCGAAGAATGCTAAAGATGATTTGTTCTTTTTGAACCGCATGCTCAAGCTCAAAAACTTGACCCACAAAGGGTCAAATTGTACCCATGAATGGGTGTTATGATTTGAAAACTTTTTTTATTGGCTTATTTGTGGTGAATATCAATAGATTGCAAAAAAGACAAAATGTGTTTGTATTTTTTTACCCAAAAACAAAACAATGACCCATTTTGAATCTTAAATTATGATTTAATGTTATGACTGTGGTTAAACACACTCTATGATTTGACCCTTGCCAGCCAAAAATATATTACATTTGGTCCAATGAAAAATGTGTGGTTTGATATGGTTCGTTTTCATCTGGACAGGGCCTAAACAAAGCTTCGAGGCCCTTAGAGAACAGCTGTAATAGACTGTACAAATAAGTCTCTTAATGACGACCTGCACATTTTACACTGCCAATGTCACTTTTTAATTGTACATAAAATACAATAATTGCAGTTAATAAACTGTATATATTTACACTTTTTTAACATGTTTGCACATTTCCTGTTGTTTGCACATTTCTTGTTGTTTGCACATTTCTTGTTGTTTGCACATTTCCTGTTGTTTGCACATTTCCTGTGTTTTTACACACCCTGAGTGATCCTATTTTTGCCAAATTTGACATTGCATTTTCTCCATTGTAAGATCAATAAAGTTTAATCTTATCTCATCTTGAGAGGCACTGTATTTATTGAAGATTTGTCTCAAAATCTTGACTTGTTTTCCTCAGGCCCCGTTTAGACGGAGACGCTGCAGCAATAAAACGCTACAGTTGGATGTTGGTTGCTACCTCCCGCTCAGATGGAGACAGTGCCCTTAATGCTTACGTAAGCACGGTCACATGGGTTTTTACAAACGAACTAGGCCAAGTGGCCCGGACCGTCGCCACAGGGGTGTGAAAATGGCCCGCGGTCACATGAACGTGTCCTCTGAATCGTGCCAGAGAAACTGTGCTGAAGTACAACATTTGGTCCAGCTGGTGGCGCTAATACTAACTCCAGCGACTACCTCGGTGTCCAAGTTGAGTTTCCGCTTCTCTTCCTGTTTATATTCTGCTACTGCAGCTAACAGGCTCGAGCATGCAACGCGTTGTCTGCATCAGAGCAGTGTGAACAAGTGTGAGATCTGTCTTTCCTCAAAGTGCAGCGGTGGGACACGTGTGTGTTGTCTGTGTGTGCGGGCGCGCCGCGGACACGGGAGCGCGCCTTTATAGTAAGCAGCGACCGGAGCAGAGCGACCGGAGCCGGAGGATGTGTGTGTGTGTGTGTGTGTGTGTGTGTGTGTGTGTGTGTGTGTGTGTGTGTGTGTGTGTGTGTTCTGGCGATGACATAAAGACTGATTCTTGAATGTCTGAAGTCTTATTGCTATAGCACCACACTGAGAGGGTCAGGACAGAGGGAGTTATTCCCGTAGGAAACGCTTTTCTTTGACCCTGCAGCCACACACTCCCCTTGCGCCCCTCGACCACGGTTATATGAATGGTTTAACACAGCGGAGAATACGAAACAGCAGGAGAGACGTGTGTGAAAATGCGTGTCACAGGAAGGCGTAATGTGACGCACAATATCACGTCCCCACCACACCTCATACCCGCCACACTGACCCCCCTCATCCGCACTGCGAAGTGGGCCCTGGCCCAAGTTTTTATCCACACGCTTGAGCACAATTGCAGGAATCATGCTCAAGCGCGATTCCCGCGGTCACATGGACTTAAAGCTCGGATCAGATCGCAAAGTGACCGCAGCCTAAGATCCAGCCTCCAGAGTGGGACAGCTCAGATAAGCTGCTCAGCAGGAGCCTCTTTCACACCCGCGTGAAAAAACAGGTGTGAATTCTCGGCCTGCTATGACTCCCACCTCCCCGCATATAATTGAACATGCACAGTAGCCAAACATGAACAACAATGGTGGCAGGTACACTAGCAAGTTACGTGTGCTTCGAGCTTTACACGGAGGAGAATTCTACTCCTTCGTTCGTCCAAACGAAACCATGCAAAGCTTGAGTTTCAGTTTCCATTTTCGCAGCTACTGTTAAATCCAGAATGATGCATTCTTTCACGTCTGTGTTGTTGAGGAAGTGAATATACTGTGGGGGGGCTGGGGCTCGCGTGTCTCATGTTCTAAAGTTCCTCTGCCCACTTCTGGAACTACGTTCTAGAACTAGAACTACGTTCTAGAACTAGAACTCTACGCTGTCTTGAGCCTGGTCGTTTCTGTTAATAGTTTGGCAACGTCTGCTCTGCGCCTCTGTCTAAACAGGGCCTTAGTCTAGAAAGATAGGGTAATATTTAAAATGTTACTTCCTGGTTGAACATGCAGATGCAAAGGATTTTTAACAGGCATAATAAAAAGTAGCCTGACACTCGCCAGACCCTTGTAGATCGCTGTGCTTCTGGGACTACTTGTTAAATTGTGTTTGGAGACTATAATATATTTTAATAACGTTAGTAATTTTGTCCCAGTCATTGCAGCGTCAATCAAAATCATCACGTAACACAGCTCACATCATGCGCAGCGACAAAGCGTGTCCTGCTGTTGTTTGCTAAAACTAAAGGTGTTTGGAGGCTACAAATATATAATACCTGCTTTAAAATGAAACGTGGTTAATATCCACAACAGAAAAACCCGGAGGGGGAGAAAAGTCACTTGTATCAGGGGTCAGGCTGATGGTGCGAAGAGAGGGAGAGAGGGCAAAGGAGGGAGAGAAGGAGAGAGGGCAGAGGAGGGAGAGAGGGCAGCGGAGGGAGAGAGGGCAGAGGAGGGAGAGAGGGCAGCGGAGGGAGAGAGGGCAGAGGAGGGAGAGAGGGCAGCGGGAGGGAGAGAGGGCAGCGGAGGGAGAGAGGGAGAGAGGGCAGAGGAGGGAGAGAGGGCAGAGGAGGGAGAGAGGGCAGCGGAGGGAGAGAGGGCAGAGGAGGGAGAGAGGGCAGCGGAGGGAGAGAGGGCAGCGGAGGGAGAGAGGGAGAGAGGGCAGCGGAGGGAGAGAGGGCAGCGGAGGGAGAGAGGGCAGAGGAGGGAGAGAGGGCAGAGGAGGGAGAGAGGACAGAGGAGGGAGAGAGGGCAGCGGAGGGAGAGAGGGCAGCGGAGGGAGAGAGGGCAGAGGAGGGAGAGAGGGCAGAGGAGGGAGAGAGGGCAGCGGAGGGAGGGAGGACAGCGGAGGGAGAGAGGGCAGAGGAGGGAGAGAGGGCAGAGGAGGGAGAGAGGACAGAGGAGGGAGAGAGGGCAGCGGAGGGAGAGAGGGCAGAGGAGGGAGAGAGGGCAGCGGAGGGAGAGAGGGCAGCGGAGGGAGAGAGGGCAGCGGAGGGAGAGAGGACAGAGGAGGGAGAGAGGGCAGAGGAGGGAGAGAGGGAGAGAGGGCAGCGGAGGGAGAGAGGGCAGCGGAGGGAGAGAGGGAGAGAGGGCAGCGGAGGGAGAGAGGGCAGCGGAGGGAGAGAGGGAGAGAGGGCAGCGGAGGGAGAGAGGGCAGCGGCAGAACAGCGCGTTAAAGAGGCCCGGCTTTTCGGAGTCAAAGGTAAAGAGGTCCGCACATTAAAAGCGGGTGGCCGGTTTATGCCTTTACTGACAGTAACTTTGGAAAGAGAAGCCGCGGGGATGAACTGCATAAAGTAACAGCAGAAAGCGGCCGCCCACTTTTTATGTGCGGACCTCTTTACCGCTGACTCCGGAAAGCCGGCCCACTTTACCGCGGTCGGAGAACAGCGAGGGCGAGCCGCAAGAAATGCGCTCCACTTCTGCTGAGGAGGGAGCCCACCAAGCCCATCACTGTGTCACTACATGAGTAAAAATATGCAAGCCTCCTTTTTTGGGCTGGACAGTGCAGCTCAGTAGTGGCGTGAGTCTCTAGAAAGCGTTACTCCGTATCAAGGAAATACATGCTCATTTCATGTGACGGAAGGGATGTTGGGGGGGGGGGTTGCAATCACATACAAAAAACCTTGTATGTGATTGGATAAACCACTTGTCTGTTATCTTGAATGACGTTTTTGTTCAACCACTCATATCGAAGCACACGACTCCCATGAATCAGAATCAGAATCAGAATCATTTTTATTGCCAACGTAAGTAACGGGAGGTCACAGACTTGGAAATTGCTTTGGCTCAGTGCAACAGTCAAAAAGAGATAATAAAAATAAGAATAAAAAACACTTCTAAAGA